GGCCAGCGTGTCCTGTCCATTATCGGTATTGAGCAAGTGGTTGCAAAACCTGTCAAGCCTACTAGTGAATTTGCTGCAGCTCCTAGCACCAGTTTTGCTGGGCTGGCTCGATCATCTTCATGGTTTGACATGAATGGAGGTATCAATCATTGGGCAACAAATTTCACAAATTTTAGCAGTTTTGAACTTTTAATTAATGTGCGTTCTTTTGATCAATAATTTGGCACTTTGCTTGCCACTGTATGTTTAATGAGATTTCATTTGATTGCTTGCAGCCAGTCATCTGCCTTTAACATTCAGAACTCCTCCGGTTAGTCCTCCTCGTGCTAGTTACATGACGGGACTCCGGAGAGTTTGTTCACTCGAGTTTAGGCCACACTTGATGACCTCTCCAGACACTGGGTTGGCTGACCCACTTTTGGGCTCAAGCGGACCTTCTGGAACTTCTGAGCGCAGTTTTCTACCACAATCGACCATATATAGTTGGAGCTGTGGTCACTTCTCAAAGCCGCTTCTAACTGCGGCCGATGACAGTGAAGAGATGATTAGTAGAAGAGAAGGGAGAGAAAAGATGGCCCTTGACTTGATCACAAAATGCCAACACTCTTGTATGCCTCAAGTTTCCATAATATTTTTCAGCCTACCTTTTGCGACCAGTTTTTCTGCGAAAGTTGTGTTGCTTTTTCATAATTGATCTGAATCTGTTCTAAAATTTATCTTCCTTTATCAGGTGTGAGCAAGCTGCATAATCAAATTGCCAGTTGGGATACAAGATTTGAAACTGGTACCAAAACTGCCTTGTTGCAGCCATTCTCACCATTGGTGATTGCATCAGATGACAGTGAAAGGATCAGGTAAGGAATCAGATTTCACTCTCTTGAGGATGCTATGATATAATTGACCCACAATTCAGTTAAGCATCTGCAACACCATGTATTCTACTTGACAGGAGATGATATATATATATATATATATATATATATATATATATATATATATATATATATATATATATATATATATATATATATATGAGAGAGAGAGAGAGAGGGGGGGGGGTTCAAATACAAAGTACCCCTCATGAAAAATGAGAAGTGAATCAAGTGATCATAGCCATTAAAATGAGAAAATAAGTAGATCAGATCAATTTTAAAGTGCAAAAAGCGATGGTAAGTGTAAATATCAGGAACTTTTTCAAAAAACAAGGTGATTAATGTGCTTCTCTAGTTCGCTATGGAGAAAAAGTGCATTTGACTAAAACAAAAGTGCACCGCTTTTCAAACTAAAATAACAACTATAGAAATCATTTTGTGATATTTTTCAATGAGGAGAATGTGCAGTCTTGCATATCACATATGCGCTTCTACTATTAAGTATTGCACTATTAGGTTAAGCATTTTGCACCGCAAATTTTTATCTATTCTGTCCATTTTTAAGTGATCAAGGGGTTAGATCATTTCTCACTTCTCACGGGAAATCTATTTGTATTAGAACCCACCCCGATATATATATATATATATATATATATATATATATATATATATATATATATATATATATATATATATATATATATATATATATATATATATAGTAGCGATCCTTTAAGGCCACCGGCCTGAGGACTCGCCGTCCAGCCGAGGCCATTTGGGGCCCTTCCCGGTGGAAATTTTTGATGATTTTTTTTGAGAATGTTCTTCATCAAGTCTAGTTTATCCACAAAAAAAATCAGCTAAAAATTCAATCCGAAAGGTAGTTAAATAAATTCTCTACACAAACTGCGCTGTTTATATATAAAGCACAGTTTTGTAAAGAATTTATTTAACCGCCTTCCGGATTGAATTTTTAGCTTAAATATGGTCGGAATAAACTAGACTTAATAAAGAACATGCTCAAAAAAATTCATCAAAAATTCCACCAGGAAGGGCCCCAAATGGCCTTGGCCTGATGGCGGTTCCTGTTAGACTGGCCTTATACGATCTGCCCTATATATATATATATATATATATATATATATATATATATATATATATATATTGTGCGTGTGTGTCGTGCGAAGCGTACAGATCTCTCTCCATAAGGAGATAAGTAATATTTAAAGATATGAAGTATCCGATTAAAGGAACCTGTGTTTCTTGATCTCATATCTTATAGGAGTCGGGTTGAAGATTTTCTTTTAGGTGAAAGAATTCAGGATCCATAACTTAGAATGTGTATGTTTTAAACCATGTAATTTGATGTTAAGATAAGGGTATTCGAATGGATAAGAATGTTGTGTTTAATTTTTATTATTTGACTTCATTATTTTGCAAGCTCTATAAAATTGTGTATGGTTGTGCTAGGGTATGGAATTATGAAGAGGCAACCCTGCTGAATAGCTTTGATAACCACAGCTGCCCTGACAGAGGAATCTCAAAGCTGTGCTTTGTGAATGAACTTGATGAATGTTTGCTTCTTGTTGCCTCAAGTAATCCTAGTGCTCCTTGTAGTCTCTCCAGATCTAATGTTGAAACTGTCCAATGTAAAATAAATGATGTTTGTACTCTCTTGCAGGTGATGGCAACATCCGCATCTGGAAGGATTATGCATCAAGAGGCCGGCAAAAGTTGGTCACCACATTTTCTTCAATTCAGGGTCACAGAGTGGGTATGCGTAATGTGAATGCTGTGATTGATTGGCAGCAGCAATCTGGTTGCCTGGTAAATTCGCATCCACTCAAGTAGTAGAGTTAGAAGTTGATATATGCGTGTATATCTAGGATCTGATTAATAATGTTCCACCGTGTGACTAGATGCATTTACCTGATATGGTTAATTATTCTACATTACAGAAGCGAAATCAGTAGATTGATACGTGTTTGCACATGCATTCAGATGTTGCTTAACTTGTCATTTCTATTTTTATGTAACTTATTAATTGTTTCATCAGTTCGCATCCGGTGAAAGTTCATCAATATTAACTTGGGATTTGGACAAAGAGCAGCTTGTAAATACCATTCCGTCATCCTCTGAGTGTAGCATTTCTGCATTGGTTGGTACTTCATTGGTGTAACTGGATTTTTATTATCCATCAGTGGAATGGTTTAAAATTGATATCCTTAGTAGTGCAATTTATCTGTTTATTTTTTCATTTTGTTGGCCTTGTGCAGTCCGCTTCACAGGTTCATGGAGGTCAATTTGCAGCTGGTTTTGTGGATGGATCTGTTAGGCTCTTTGACATCCGAATGCCACACATGTAAGGCAAAGTTTATAGCTATTCCTTAATGTGCAATGTTATAGTGAACGATTTACACCTTTGTAATGACTTTAGTGTTGGCTATGAACATGCCTCATTCGTCCATTAGTTTTGTTGTAGTAATTTGGATATATGAGTAATCTACCAGTCAGGCCTTCCTGACCGGAACTGCCGTCCGGACGGCAGATTTTGGGCCCCTTCCCGGAGGAATTGTTTGATGAAATTTTTATGCCATGTTATCCATCAAGTCTAGTTTATCCACAAAAAAATTCAGCTAAAAATTCAATCATGAAGGTCGTCAAATGATTTTTGGAAGATAACTGCGCCTAAAATATACATATAAAACGCAGTTATCTTCCAAAAATCATTTGACGGCCTTCCCAATTGAATTTTTAGCTGATTTTTTTGTGTGGATAAACTAGACTTGATGGAGAACATGCCATAAAAATTTCATCAAAAAATTCCACCGGGAAGGCGGCCAAACGCCGCCGTCCGGAATTCCGGACATGAACTTTTCTCTTGGATATATATATCTATGCAATTTGACAACAAATTACCAAAAATGTCATAAACTAGTTTACATAGGATATATAAATATATTAAAATAAATTTTAAATATTGAAGTATTTTTCATTATAATAGTGTTATGTTAACAAGTGGTACATTAGCTGAACCCAGCTTTAGTATAGGTAGTTACACTGATGGACTTGCTTGTTACTGGTGATCCTCATTTATGCAGGCTTGTTGCTACAACTCAACCACATACCCAAAGAATAGAAAGAGTTGTTGGAATTGGCTTTCAACCTGGACTGCAACCAGCTAAGGTGGAAAATGCGAATGTGTTGCAGTATACTTGTATCTATTAGGTCTTGTTTTTTCAATATTTAATAGAGATTTGAAGCGGCGATATTTGTACTGGGCTTTTGTCAGATTGTGAGTGCATCTCAGGCTGGGGACATCCAATTTCTTGATGTGAGGAACGTGAAGGACGCATACCTAACAATTGACGCACATAGGGGATCACTGACGGCTCTAGCTGTTCATCGGCATGCACCACTCATAGCTAGTGGCTCAGCGAAGCAACTCATCAAGGTGTTCAACTTGGAGGGTGAGCAGTTAGGCACCATACGGTATCTATCCACTTTCATGGCACAAAAGATTGGGTCCGTGAGATCCCTGGCATTCCACCCGTATCAAGTCCTCCTTGCAGCCGGTGCTTCAGATTCCTGCGTCTCTCTGTATGCTGATGATGTCACTCTCCCAAGATGACATAAGCTTCCTAAACAGACCCCCAAGTTCGAGTTGACATTTGAATACCTATCAATCCATCTGACGATCAGGTTGTCGCCCCATTTGTGTATGTTGTCATATTCGTTGAGCCTCCATTGACATACTCATCGAAGTTGGTTGGGTGTCTCGACCCTCATCTTCGGAGGCTTGTCTAATAATTTGATGCATAGGTAAAGAAAGATGTAAATATCTCCCCCATCTCCCACCCCCTCTGTTATTTAGTTCCTGTTGATTTAGTGTGCTGCTTTTATCATATTGAAACCCCGTTCACCTGTATAGATCAACTGGTCTGCACCTTATTTATATAATTTAATTTCATTCCTCATTATTATGAACATTTCCCTTAATTTCATTACTCATTATTGTGAAAATTTCCTCTTCGCTTTACAGAATACATTATTTAATCTTTCCTTGTAGCATCTAATTAATAAAAGCATCTCACATTCTCACTATCTCAGAATACATTATTAATCTTTCCTCTTCAGTACTACGCGGCTAATAATATAAGCATTTTACAAGCATATCTTGGAAACATGTGTGCCAGAAACCAGATCAATCTTCTTAATAGGCAGTTCTTCCTACAAACAAAATTAAAAACAAATCCAAGTGTTGCAGAAAGAAGGATTGCATTTCCATGTACACAGTACACATCACATATTGACAGTATCATATAAGGATAGACAGCCACCAGCCATTGTAAGAATATATATATGGCTGATGGGATGAGTATGTGAGTTGTTCAGTTGAGAGTTGAGAGTGATGCAATTATGTATGCTTTCCAGACATACAGGCCGAAGGGTTATTCGTCATCTTGAGTTTCTGGTTTTCATCACCGAAAACGTTTAGATCTTCAAACAGCCTATATGAGGGAACAAATGTTTTCTGTGCATTTGCTGCTGGCTGGGGGGTTGATGAAATCCGTGCACCACCTGCATCGTTAGCATTGATTCCTCCGTCTGCTTGGACTGGATTTCCAATGTTGGCACTGACCGGCGGAGGAGTTGAGTGGGGGGTGTAAGTTGATCGGTTACTGCTCAAATAACCGGGAGTTGAAGCCCAAGGTGGAGGTGGGTAAGCACTAGCAGAGTAGTGAGAGTATTGATGATGAGGATCAGGTTGGGACTGGTGTGGCGGCGGCGGCTTAGCCCAAGGAGCTACATAGTTGTTGAAGGCTGCTGCCCCTGAATCGGCCTCTTGGTTGCCAATAGGAGAAAGGGGTGTATGGTGAACGTGATCTTGCTGAGTATGTGCTGCACGTGGTGGAGAAGATGCAGTTGTTGCCAAGGTTAAGCTCCCCAAGAGCTCGTTGATTATATCTTGTTCTTCCTCTTTTTTGGTTCTCACTGGTTCTGGCGGGTCACAAAGAACCAAAGCACTGCTGCTCATGTCTGCTGAATCTGAGAACACTGCCGTTCCATTCATCTGAACTTGAGCTGTTTTCGAACAATGCCTGCATTTATTTATTTCCCCCAGTATTGCAACAATCTTAAGCAGAAAGAAATGAAAGATTAAAGAGAACACAGGACCGGTTTTCCCGTTTTTGACTGGCACCAGTCCAAAACAAGACCCGACCAGCTCCATTTTTGTCAAATATAAGAGCGGGGCTGTCCAGTCTTTTGCACGGAGAATGACCAGTTGGTCCTGGATAAGAAAGGACTGGTTTCAATTTTAAAAAGGCTAAAAAGCCAGATCAGAATTGGCTGGGGCCATCCCTACATAAAACTCTGTAGCATACCTTCTAGCCAACTGAGCGAAGTCATCGTCTTCTTCTTCTTCTTCGCCTAAAATAGGTATGGGGGGTTGGGCAACAAGATCATAAGAGGGTTGTTTAGTGTCAGGTGCAGCCGCAGCATTTTCTGCTACTTTTGGGGTGGCAGGCTCCGGTGATGATGGCTGATGATTAATGGTGGCTGAGACTGAGCTTGGGAATGCAGTGGCACCAGAAGCAATGGCATCATGTTTTGCAAGCACACTTTGTAGACTATCATTCAATTCCAGACCCTGTGCTAGAAGCTTTTCATCCCTGATATCGTGGATTTATATTTCATTTGCAATCATGGATTAATATTTCATTTCCAAAAAAGGACAAAATAACTTAGATGCTCTATGGATTCCAATTTCATACCCAGAACTAATTCACTCCAGATTTTTTCTAAATACTAGTACGTACAAAATAAAGATCAAATTTGCACTTAATTGTGAACAGGGCAAGACAGACTATTAAGTCTGGGGAAGAACTCAAACAAAAGTCCAATTCTTTAGTTGGACATACGTGTGTTCACTCCATGGAAACAGCTGATTTTTACACCAAAAAAGATAAAACATGTATGCCAAGTGAATGTGCTCTCACTGTACTTTTTGGTTTGTATTTAGTTTTTCAAAACATAAATATACAGTTGTCAAATATTTTATACTTTTAGTGTACAGTAAAATTTACTAAAAATGAATCAAAGGTCAAAAAGGTAAGCAGTACCTCTATGTTTTATCATCTTAGAATATCAACTTTGCTAAAGTTGACAGCTTTGACAAAATTGCTAAATTCGACAGGATTCTTAAACCAGGAAAGAGAGAACTTACCCGGTTGTAGTCAACATCTGCATTAGTTTCTTTTGACTGGCACGGCAGCGGTCAACAAGATCAACTATAACTTCATTTTTCACACCCTAAACAAGAAATGTAAAAGAAACTCAGGACCTAATGGATCAGCTGATTAAAAAACAGAGAGTATGTTATATTATTTCCATTATTATTATCTTTTGTAATCCAAACAAGAGATATCATCATCATCATGTTTTACAATTCCCTCCCTTTGTCTCCTTGCCTAAAACTTATTCAAATCCAAACGGAGTCATTGTTTACCCCCTCAATTACAATCGAGACGTTACCAACCTCCCCTCTCAATCCGAACACAATGGAAGTGGAATTAGTTATACTAGAGAGAGAGAGAGAGAGAGAGAGAGAGAGAGTGCACATACTGTACGATCACCAGGATTCACAGCTTGCAGCATGTCAGCCAAGAGATGAACAACATCCCCCATTGAGCTAATGGTTGATAAACTGCCCAATCATAAGGATAACCAATGTGTTACAATTTACAAAATACAGATCATCGAAATACACACACTAGAACTAAATCTCACCTCAAACTTTCCATCTCAGCTGCCATGGCTTCATCAAGTCTTGTTGAAGAATTGCTTGGCATTCCATAACCTGGTTGATGCTGTCTAGGCGGAGTAAGAATTGGAGCCGCGTCATAAGTGCGCTGAGGAAATTGTACACCAGAACGCTGCCACAAATCTTAATACATTACTACCCCTAAAATAGGACTTATTTAATCCTATTACAAGAATAAAAGAATAAAAACTTTTCTAAATAGGAGAGCATGAGTCCTGTTTTGGGAAGAAAACAATGTAACTCCTATTTGAGAAAATATAATTGTTTGTCTTATTTAGAATTCCAAGTACTTATAATAGACATATATAAATATAAGATGGGTACCAACCAATGCCAACTAAAAATCTATTTATTTTAACATATCTTTTACTATCTGTTCTTTCCTTCCATTGTTTCTCTATTTTTATTTTCCTACTTTAGTCCCCTAGTACTTTCCAGGTTCCAAACAGACCCCAAGTGTTTCCTGATGATATATCATACATAAATACGCAACAGACACAACTTGTGATTAAAGATAATAGTATATCACAAAATAAATCATCAATAACTTACCCTGAGTTCATCATACGCCCAATAATACTGAGTATATTTCCCTCCCGGACCACCAAACGCTTCTTGCCAAGAGTCTAGTAGGCCAAGGATTTTATCTCTCACATGCATATCAGTCTGGATGTATATCAAGATTTGAAAGGTGAGATTTTGATTGGCCATAAAGCAAAGAGTAAAGGAAGAATTAACGCAACAAGGTACATATAACACATTAACACCCTCCCTCCACCCCACCCAAATGCCAAAAAAAAATTAAACCCACTCATAAAAATGTGCAAACCCCCCAAAATACCTATTTAGTTTAAAATGGTTAAGAAAAGTTGCAAGTAATGCTAAAGTCTATTAATGACAAAGAAACATGAGATATTTTTAAAAAACCAGCCCCAAAGAATTTCACAGGAAAACAAAAATGTTGTAATAACCCTCAATTTAAGATCCTATTAAGCATCAAAATGAAACTTGCCTTCTTCTTTACAGTTTTGACCATATCTTGCGGTATATTTCTCTCTGCAATTTGAAAGTGCACAATATCGCCACAGTTTTTCACCATTGTCTCTAGAAGCTAAGGAAAAGACAAAGAGGAAAATCCATACGGAATGAATCCCTTTAAATATATAAAGCAAATTAAACCCAAGTATAAAAAATTGACAAGAAATGTTTTCAAATAATAAGTACCGTTAAAGAAAGTAGCTGCACTGTAGGATTCTTGTGCTGCAGCCTTTTCTTCAAAGTTTTCACAACATCTTTGGCTAACCTGAATTTAGCAGCAAGAGAGAGATTGCAGTTTACTACTTGTACTTCAGTAAAATACACACAAATGACAAAAACCAGAAATACATCATAGACATAACATCATAACAGCAAGAATTATGGATTTAATTATAAGTCCTGAGGTTTTTAAGAAAATCAATAGCTAATGATCGCTTGTTTCTCTATCTTTTGTCGAAGTCACTCAAAGAAACACAGAACAATGATAAAGAGGAAATGATCACTGTTTTGAAATAAATTATGGAAAGCATAATCATAAGAACAGAAACCCCTTTCCCCCATCAACTTCAAGCAACAGTTCATGCAAAACCAACTACGAAAATCCAATACTAGTTATTCAGATACACTTATGCAAAAACCATTCCAATGAATTATGTTTGTAATCTTGTGGAGCTAACTGCCAGAATAACGAAAGGGAAAAAAGTCAACTTTATCCCCATAGATATAAAGTAAGGAACTTTGAAGAGGAAAAGAAAGGAAGGGAAAATACCAATGGTTGGAATTGATGGTATCACAAATATCAATATTCAAAGTCCAATCAGGACCGATCAGTAGCTCGCTTGTGGCCTTCTCCACTCGAACCACCACTGACGACGCCGGAGAAGTCGTAGACGAAGAAGAAGACGGTGTCGCAAAGGATGATATCATCTTCCCAAGCCTCTCCCTACCGAAAATCGCTACAGCAAAGCTCAGTTCTACACTTCCACAACTTGTATCTCTTGGTCTTGTGATTCCTTTTTGTGTTCTTGGTTCTTATTTTGTCTGAAAATTTTTGGGGAATCGTTTTCTTTCCCCCAAGAAAGTTTCCCCTAGTTTCTTGTTAGGCTATGAGAGCTTTCTGTGATGTTTCTTCCTTCCATAAGCACTTTGCCTTTTGGACTAATATTTTTTCCTGTTATTTCCTTTATAGGATATTTCGTAACCTTTTGTCTTTCTTGTTTTTAAGTTATGCCTGCTTTATCAATCCAGCACAATTACCATGATCAAGTGAGAATTTATTAATTTAATACGTAGTACCTAATAAATTGAAACATTTGCGACTCAGGCTAGTGGGAGCGTTTATGGTTGTTCATTTCACATACTTGTCACTTTTTTAAAAAATATTATAAAGATGTAGGATTTGACAAATGTTGCATTATTGTGTTTTTTTTGTATAATTTTTTTTTTTGAAACTGTTTTTTTTTTTGTATAATTAGATAATCAAAAACTAATTTCTCAAATTTGGACATGTAGTTTTTAACTTATTTTCTAAACCAAGCAGCCGCTCCGCTCTAGGGTTCAAGAATGCGGCCGCCCTTGCACTTTAGCATGAGATTTTTGTTCTCTCTATTTTGGTTTATGGCGAAGCAACAGTCAAGCGACACATTGCATCATTGTTGTTGGAATTGGGGTTGCACTATTGCAGTGGAGGCGGCAACGATACCAACGTAAAAGTTGTTTCTCCCTAGCTTTTGTCTAGGATTTGTCTTTCTAGCAAGTGGCTTGCGGCGTTTCTTGTCCGGTGAATGATTTGGAGTGTAAGTGGGCGGGCAGTTGTCATCGCGTTCTGTCTATCCATGATCTGCTTCTCTATGGTTGATGTTTCTGGATCTGTTGTTATGGATCGAATCTGGAGGTCTATGATTGATACTTTCGATTGAAAATTTGTCTGGCAATTTTTTATTCGACTTCTGAGCAAGGGAGAAGATAGATTGGCGGATCGCCCACCTCCTGAACCGCCGCCTTGGAGCGACCGAGGTGATAGAGTTTGGAAAAGAAGAAATTCCACTTTTGGTCCTCCGAGTTTTGCACCAATTCCACAATTAGTCCACGTCTTTCACTTTATCCATTTTTGGTACCTGACTATTGTTTTCTTGACCATATATAGTCCTTTTCCTGTAGTAAAAATGCCCAGAAATGGACTGAAAATGGTTAAGAAAACAATAGTTAGGTACCAAAAATGGATAAAGTGAAAAATAAGGACTAACTATGGAAGTGACACAAAACTCGGAGGACCTAAAGTGGAATTAACTCGTTTGGAAAATGATACTTCGAGAATATTGGCAGGAAGGAGCATAGAGTATTTGTCATCTGTTTTATTTTTTATGGTCTTATTTTCACGTTAAGTTTGTTTATTGCTCTGTTTTTTGTTGATGTCTTTAGTTTTATGTCTACAATAAAGAATGACAATTCTGCTAGATATTATGTCGTTAGAATGATCTATATGACCAGTGATTGTTGTGTCAAACTCGCTTGGTGGTTAGCGATTCGTATTGCTCTTTCAGGGGTGATCGTCTCTGAGTTTAGCCGTAGAGTTGATAGTGCTAATTGGTTAGGGATACTTGTTGTCAGAGTTGATCTTTGTGAGTTTGTTGTAACGATCCGAGTTCTAACGATATTAATATAAACAGTTTGTTTTGATGATAAAAAAAAACTTATTTTCTAAACAAGTATAATTTCATTTCTATCCATGGTTGATGCCATCACAATTATAGTAAATTGATTGTACATATCATCTTTGACTTGCTGTATAAAATAATTTGAAACCTCGAGTATAATTAACATAAGGCCTCCGTGAAGAATCACGGGCTATTTTGAATTGGAGATCTCTCTAATTGATATGTAACTTTAATCCGATATACTTAATAAGCTAAAAGCTGTCTCTTTAGATAACATGTTGATCTTTTGGCAAAGCTATAAGCTAATTGTTTTTTCGTGAAGGAAACTTTGAGATCACATTACCTTTCAATAGACATTTGGACTTTTCAATTGTTCCATGTTCCGAAACTGTTAATATGGCATTTATTGTTAGAAATGCCTTAATCTTAGATGCTTATGGTTTATCACGATTTTGTGATTTTCACGGCTGAGGTCTAGTCTCCTCATCTTTTGTATTACGCTTCTTTTAATAAAATTGGTAAATGTTCCTCATCATCTACCTTATCGATTGATGGTTTGCCACCGTGTCCAAAAAAAACACCATCATTACATTGCTAGAAATGAGAAATCCAAAACATTGCTAGATCTCTTAGGATAGGACTCGATGTCAAAGTGTATTTTAATTAAGTGACGAGCCAATAGATGATTAGAGTTTTAGCATCTTCTCCTCTCCTCCTCCAATTATTTAATTCTAATAATTTGATTTTGTATGTACTATATCAAATTAAAACATATTAACAATTACAATCTTCAACTCAGTTCATTGATTGTAAAAAAATTGACATCTATGGTAAGTTAATAAAATGATTTTTTCTTAAATACCATTCAACTAGGACTTGTAAAAAATGTGACTAAAGCCCTAGAAGTATACCATCTTGTCACTATGGTGTTAAATATATAATCACAATGACTATAGTTATATATTATTGTAATCACTTCAACTCTTAATTTAATTATATACATTCATCATTATTTCTAATTAGAATAGAGATGCAGTCCATTCCCTCATGATTGGCCTGCCAATTGATTAGGGCAGGTGAATTTCGACTTTGAGTAAAATATGGTTCACAAAGGAGTGTTTTTTAAAGAGATTCACAAAGGAGTGTGATAACTCATAACTCGGCGCATCTTTTAATAAATTAAATTAAAAATTAGTGATTGTGTTATTTCAAAATTTTATAATTGCATTTATAACTGGTGCCGTCTGGTGGCATATTTTATCATCAGACTGTGATGACTTAAATCGTTGGGGTCCTAACTTTTCAGTTCACCAAATAGCCAGCATTCATATCTTAACTGGCCTCTCACGTAGTGATGCATTGTTGAGACATGATCAATGTAAAGTATAAATGTATTGTGTATTTCTTGATCAAAAACAATATACAGATGTGTTTATATACTCTTATGACTAACTGTGAAGGCTAAGGAGATATACATGACTAGCTATAATTGAGGAGATAATACTGTATAGTAACAAACTAGCTATACGAAAGTACATAGTGATAAGGATAATAATTAATATTATTCTTATGCTCCAATACGCCCCCGCAAGATAGAGGTTCCGTTGGAAACTCCTAGCTTGGACCGAAACCGCTCAAATGGAACTTTACCAAGTGGCTTGGTGAGTATGTCGGCAATCTGGAATTTGTTGGAAATGTGACGAACTGAGAGTTGCCCAGTTTCAACTAGATCCCGGACAAAAAAGAAGTCAAGTGCTACGTGCTTCATGCGAGAGTGAAAGACTGGATTTACACATACGTACGTAGCTCCTTGATTATCACATAGCAACTGAGGTGAGTGAGATAATTTAACTCCTAATTCATGAAGAAGATTTTGAATCCATAAAATTTCAGCACTAGCATGAGCGACAGCCCTATATTCAGCCTCCGTAGAGGACCGCGAAACAGATTTTTGCTTTGCTGATTTCCATGAAATGATATTTGAGCCAAGATATAATACATATGCGGTGGTGGATTTCCCCCCGTCATGAATTCCCCCCCAATCCGAATCCGAGAAAGCAGTGAGTGTAAGGGGGGAGGAGCGCTTCAAGAAAAGACCATAGTTCAAAGTACCTTTGAGATACCTTAGAATACGTTTAACTCCCTGCCAATGAACATCCTTAGGGGCATGCATGTATTGTGATAACCTGTTGACGGCAAAGGATATGTCAGGCCTTGTGAACGCCAAATATTGTAAAAGTCCAAGGGCCCGCCTGTACTGCGTGGGATCAGTGGGATGCTTGTCGTCCGAAAGATGGGGCGGAGAGCTAGAACTCATAGGAGTGGCAGACTCCTTAGCTCCGTCCATATGATACTCCTCAAGAATGTGCAAAATATATTGCCGTTGAGATAGGAAAATGCCCTCACGATGTGGAATGGTTTCAACCCCAAGAAAATGATGCAAGGTGCCAAGGTCTTTAACAGAAAACCGGGTCGTGAGTTGCTTAATAAATTCTTCCAGAGCAGTAGTATGATTTCCAGTGAGCACTATATCATCAACATAGACAAGAAAGTACAACAAAACAGTATTGTGAGAAAATATAAATAAGGATGCATCTGCCTTCGATCTCTGAAAACCTGCATTAATAAGAAAATGAGATAACTCAAGATACCACGCACGCGGGGCTTGCTTAAGGCCATAAAGTGCTTTTTGAAGCCGACACACATGCGTGGGATGAGATGAGTCTTTGAATCCCGGTGGTTGCATCATATAAACTTCCTCCGACAAAGAGCCATGTAGGAATGCATTATTTACGTCCAATTGACGTAAGGGCCAATGACGTGAGAGAGCTATGGAAAGAATAATACGTATAGTTGCCGGCTTAGTGACCGGACTGAATGTTTCGGCATAGTCACGACCAGCCTGTTGCAAGAACCCACGGGCAACAAGCCGTGCCTTGTACCTTGCAATACTGCCATCAGCATTCCTTTTGATACGAAACAACCATTTGCATGATATGGGTGTGTGAGTATCACGAGGAACCAACGTCCAAGTTTGATTACGATTAAGTGCCTCCATTTCTTCTTTCATGGCCAGACGCCACTTAGGATCCGCTAAGGCTTCTTTCACACTCGTTGGTTCCAGGGTTGGTAGTATGGGATGAGTGGTTGTATAGTTGACAAACTGACTTCCAAAATATTTTGGATTAGGGATGCGGTGACGGTTAGGGCGGGAATTATGAGGTGGCGTAGAAGAAGGTGGTGAAGATGTGGGTCGACTGTCAGATATATGATGCATGGGAGGGGGAGTTGGAGTTGTGGTTTGATACGTAGAATTACGTGATATGAGAGGAGGGGTGTTAGTATTATTATGGGGAGAGGGAATTATTGATGGGGCCGTTTGGTGTGATGAGTCATTATTAGTGGAGGGAGTGAGGTGAAGGTCGGTAGAATGAGATAAAATGGAATGGGGATTATGGGTGGAGGTATTATTGGGAGGGGATAAGGTAGAATTGGAATTATTGTTATGGGTGCCTAGTAGTGCGGATGAGGTGATAAGGTTAGGCAGGGAAATTATAGGAGGGGGAGGTGTACTAGCCAAGGGAGATGGAGGACACATGGCTGAGTGAGGGATGGGTAAGCATGGAGTGCATGGTGGATAGGGATGTTGGAGATGAGATGGCATGTCTCGGAACAGATATATATCAGGAACAAATTTTACATGCCTGCTGGTATATATTTTATGATGATATATATCAAGACAAAAATAAGCAGATTGAGACAATGAATAACCCATGAATACGCATGGCATTGAACGGGGCTGAGTTTTATTTTGGGTATATGGTCGTAACCACGGATAACATAAACAACCGAATGGTTGTAATTTAGTATAGTTGGGGTGTGTTTGATAAAGGCGGAAGTATGGGGTGTCATTGTCAAGGACCGGGGTAGGGAGCCGATTGATTAGATAAACAGCAGTCTGAAATGCAAATGTCCAGTATTTTATGGGAAGACCAGAATAGTGAAGCAAGGATAGTCCAGTTTCAACAATATGACGATGTCTCCGCTCAGCTAACCCATTATGTTCAGGTGTATGAGGCGGAGTAGTCATATGTGAAATTCCATGAGTGTTAAGGTAGGCACGTAATTTGATAAATTCACCCCCATTGTCAGAAAAGAGTGTCGTTATTTGATGATTAAAATATTTTTCCACCAACCGATGAAATTGGGGAAACACACTAGCAACATCAGATTTTTGTTTAAGTGGGTATAGCCAAATGTAGCGAGTGAAAAAATCAACAAAGATGACATAATACTTGCATCCATCAACAGATAGAGTAGATGAACTCCAGACATCAGTGTAAACAAGTTCTAAAGGACGGTGAGCACTCATAGAATTAACAAAGAATGGTAATTTGGTACTTTTATTGACTGAACAAGACATACAATGGAACGAACTAGCAGAATTACATGGGAAAAGATTTTTATTTTTATTCATTAAAAACGCAAAAACACGACTAGATGGATGACCCAAGATATGGTGCCACTGAGACGGAGCAAGACGTTGAATATAATTAAGCTGAGGACCTTGAATACTGGACGCATAGTAGACATCATTATTGTTCTCCCCGCGTAGTAGTGGCGCCCCCGTGACCCGATCCTTGACAAGAAAATAATTAGAGAAAAATTCGATAGAGACATTATTAGTTTTGCATAACTTGGCAACGGAAATTAGATTTTTGTTTAAATGAGGAACACATAATATATGAGAGAGGGTGAGGGGACGGGTGGGTGTAGGTAGAGTGGAAGAACCAGTATGAGTGATTTTAAGGGCCTTACCATCACCTAAGTGAACTTCATCCGGACCACCATATTCAGCGAACGTAGGAAGGCGAGTGGCATCATTAACTACATGATGAGAGGCTCCACTGTCAAACATCCAGGACTGATTCTGTTGAACAGAGGGGGCAGCAACATAATTAACCATCGGATTGTTAGACGAGGTGGGATGAGGAATATGATTATCACGAAGAAACCGTTGCAATTTTCTGCACTGTTGAACTGTGTGACCGATGTTGTCACAGAATCGGCAAGTAGATTGGCCTGCATTTGCTGATCGGTTGTATTGGTGAGGTGGGCCACCTCGGCCCCGTCTGAATGAATTTCCTCTGCTGCGGGCTGGAGCTTCCTGACGTCGATCATTGTGATAGGGACCACGTTGACCACGTTCAGAAACTTGAGTGGTGTTCGCAGTGGGCAAAAGGGAGTCACTGGCTGCTGCTTCATTAATTTGTTGCTCATGTTCCAACAATATGGGACGTAATTCTGCCATAGGTAATGGATTTTCACGTATCCGGATAGCTGATTTGATATCTCCATAATCCGGCCCAAGACCTCGGAGAATATGAATAACCAGATCCTCCTCAGATATGGGATTTTGGGCAAGAGCAAGTGCGTCAGAAATTGCCGTCATCTCCGCCAAATAATCAAAAATCGATCTGTTTCCTTTGGTAGTTTTGGCCAAGGTATTTTTAAGAGAAATAATATGACCACGGGATGTACTAGCATAGGTAAGCGCTAGTGTATCCCACGCACCATGAGCAGTGAGTGCAGATGAAAGAACAGGCTGAATGGTGTCGGAACAACTGCCTAGAAGAGCGCTCAAAATTACTTTATCTTGGCGATACCAAATGGTATAGCAAGGATTGATTTGGGATTTTGCAGCATCCAAGAATTTATCAGGAGCGGCGATAGTGCCGTCAACGTATCCTTCAAGTCCGAGGCCGACAAGAGCAGCATGGACTTGGCATTTCCAAACCGGGTAGTTGGAAGATGTGAGTTTGATAGGGAAGTTGGTGGTGGCTGTGAGTTGAATCACCGGGGTGGTGGCGGTGATATCCATCGGGAAAAAAAACTATGCTCGTTTGAGGCTGGCTCTAGATACCATGTAAAGTATAAATGTATTGTGTATTTCTTGATCAAAAACAATATACAGATGTGTTTATATACTCGTATGACTAACTGTGAAGGCTAAGGAGATATACATGACTAGCTATAATTGAGGAGATAATACTGTATAGTAACAAACTAGCTATACGAAAGTACATAGTGATAAGGATAATAATTAATATTATTCTTATGATCCAATAATCAATACAAGTTGAAATCCGCACACTTAAACTAGAAGTGAGACCACTCCTACTATGATGGAGATTGGAGAAAGAGATGGGCCATATATATCCCCATTCGCAATAATTAAAACCATTTATAGTCACATATCATATAAAATTATCTCTCAATAGTACATACTCCCTCCAAAAATTGTATTTTGTACCTAGTCATATTATCATATAAAATTATCTCAATTTCTTTTGATCATTCGTAATACGTGTTGTAACTTTTCCTTTAAGAAAATAACATATACGAGTACTTTATTACAACGGCGGAGCTAGCTAGAGACTGGACCGACTGAACTGGTACAAAGAATATTTTAGAAAAACTAGTATAACGAAATCTTTTACTTTGAAAATTAAAACATTTTTTAAATTTGGGGTTGACCAGGGTCTAGGTTTGCCCTCCCCTAGATCCGCACATGCTTTATTATAATCTCTTGTCCATAAATGATAAAAAACTCGGGATGGAAAGAGTGTATTTTATCGAACAAAATCATTTAAATCTTTTAAAATCGCATAAAATGTCGATTATCTTTTTTATTTTATTTCAATTTTAAAGTTCAATTGTTCCACATTAAAATGTCAATTATCTTTTTTATTTTATTTCAATTTTAAATTTCACTTGTTCCACATTATAATATGGCAACATGACCACCTAAATCTTTTTTTATTGGCAAGTACAACTTTCGTATAAAATCATGATAGCAGTAGAAATATTCATCACGTTTTTCAAATGGAAAGCACAAGTCTTATAGAGAAATCAAACAAGGAATTAATAAAATGAAGAACAATCAATCTAGCAATAGGCAGCATTATTATATTATCAGATAAGAGGCAATGAATAATGCATCACTTTTTGCCATTTTTATTCACTTCTGCACCTCCAAGTGCTCCCACTTTTGCTTTTTCGTTAGCAACTCCAATGCAAGGGTGTGGTCTCTTACACACCCTTACGCATGAGTCCCATTTTTATCTCACAATTTTTTATATATAGGACCCACGTATTTCTTAATTTATTTTCATTTTCATTTTTCTATATCACTTTTAATCCACTTTTCATCAATTTTTCCTTCTCGAATCCCGTGTAAGGTTCATAAATGGACCTTGTCATAGACCTTGGTCCATTTTTACCTCTATCTCTCTCCTCTTTTTCATTTTTCCCTACACACCACTTCATCCAAATATTTTCATTGCAATTGGGAAGACAGTCAAATGAATTCTTGAAGATAACTGCGCACTTAAACAGCGCAGTATATTTCAAAAAGAAATCATTTGACTGTCTTCCCGTTTGAACTTTTAGCTGAACTTTGGTATAGTCAAACTAGACTTAATGAAGAAAGTGCTCAAAAAAATTCATCAAAAAATTCCACCGGGAACCTCCCCAAATGACGACGGCCGGACAGAGCCTCATATATAAGGGGTGATTTGCACATTTTTGGTTAGTTCGAGAGCTTATTTGCCCCTTTTCCCTTTAAACAATGATCCAAGCTCACAAATTTCAAAATTCTGCTAACAATATTCTTATTTAATTGAAATAGTCTAACTTTTACTTTTATCAATACAAGACTTTTTAATAGCAAAATTACAGAAAAATCATATTATGTTAACTAACTTTGAGACAATTAAGAATATTGTGATCCTTTTTTGCTCTTCCCGTTCACCCCTACTTGAAGAACATTAACAAGGCATGTGCATTACAAGAGTAAATTTTTCCTGAAAATTGGTGAGAGTTACTTTATACTACGTAATCACCAACAAATTACCACTAGAAAATTGCCAAAACAGAAAATCTTCAGTATGAACATCTAAAGTGTGTTTGAACCGCCATAAATAAATTTCATGTTGCAAGCTCACAAAATAAATGAAGATTAAAACTTTACACATTAAAACTTTACATGTAAAATAAAAAAAACATCGTTTGGCTATGTGTGTGATCTATTTTTAAATTATACGCAAACTTTTTACATTTTTTGTTGTAAAATAAGCTAGAGAACTAGCTTCTAATTGATGTTTGGCCTCCAACCTTTAAATTGAACTTTACAAGTATTCAATACTACTTCATATAAAAAATTCATCTATATATATATATATTGAAAAATCAAACAAATACTCTGTATATGATGACCAAAAATATCAAAAGTGTCCGATACAATATTAAACAATTACAAATTAAAAAATCTTATCACAATCACAGAATCGTTTTCTCAAATTAACATAAAACTCCAAATCATATATTTGATCAACCGAAGCAGTTCTCAAAACTAAACAGAATATAGGTACAGTGTTTTGATTAACCCAAGCAGTTCTAAACGATTCTATTTAGAAGTGAAATCTTCCGAGTGCAGCCGGCCGTCTAGGTCTCAATCGCAATGACGCAAACTAATGTTCCATATATTTATTATAGCTATGAACTATGTTGCACGGATACGGATACGCCGATACGCGGATACGCGGATACGGGTACGGCGATACGGCACTTTCAAAAATTATAGGATACGGGTACGGGGGTGTATTTATAAATAATAAAAATATAGGGTATAATTTGCAAATATATATAATTCAGGGGTTCATAAATAAAATAATAATAATAGTACAAAAAATTAACTATTATAATAAAGTTTCAAAGATTAGTCTAAAAAACTAAAGTATTGATATTTTGATTTAAATTCAAATAATTTTTTTTGTTCTCTATTTGCATTTACATCCAAGTCTTGTTTCAATTAAATATCATCAAGCAATGAAATGTCAAATTATAGTATTCCATTATTTTTCATACTCCCGAAACCATCTTTATCAATGTTCCACATGTTGTGGTCGCTTGGTTGGCTACTAAATTTTCGTCATGTCGTGTATAAAATGAGGGGTTATAGGTTCAGATACGCGTATCGGTTCACGGATACGGGTATCGGAAGTATCGGTATTTTTAAAATTAAGCCCGATACTTTTATTAAATTACGGATACGGACTCAATACGTACAGGACGGGTATCGGTGAGTATCGGATATGGATACGTATCGGATACGCGGATACGGCATCGAAGTGAAGTATCGGTGCAACATAGGCTATGAATCGTTTACAATCATTCCCTATGTAAAATATAGAGAAAAGTGTCAAATAGGCCCCCACTAATACGAAAAAGTCAATTAAGCCCCCGAACTAAAAAAACACCCAATTAAACCCACGAACTATAAAAAACGAGGCAAAATAGTCCTTTTAGCATGTAATTAACCGGTTCCCGGTTCCATTAGTCCACGTGTCGTACACGTGTCGCCACGTGTTGCCATTTGTGGCCACCTATCGGCTATTGCCACGTGTAAAAGTTTACCTGGAATCGGTTAATTACATGCTAAAAGGACCGTTTTGCCTCGTTTTTTATAGTTTGTGGGTTTAATTGGGTGTTTTTTGAGTTCGGGAGCTTAATTGACTTTTCTGTATTAGTAGTGAGGGCCTATTTGACAGTTTTCCCTAAAATATTTTACATGGTACGGTGTGAAATGTGTTTTAAAAAGTGTCCTACAGTTTATACTCCGTATTAAATAGTTAAAATAAACAGTGTAAAATGTTTACCTCCCCACACTTTACACGCAAAATGTTTACTTTACATCGTAACAAACGGGCCCTATGTTTGGTATGATGTAATGCAATGCAATGGAATGAAGTGCGTAATGCAATACAAAATGTAATGTAATGTAATGTAATGGAGTCTCTGTTCCATTACTATGTTTAGTTACTTAAGTAACACCAACTTCGAATTGTCATCAACATTACATAATTATGCTTGATTATCTACATGCATAATTAGACTATATAATCAATTGTTTGCATTTTAAAGTTATAATCGCTGATACATTAAAATGATTGTCTATTGAACATCATTCATTCGTGAATCGTTGAACTATATATATAGTCACCACTAAGCTTCAGTTCAAAGATTTACGACCATTTCAAAACTTTCACATTTTTTCTTATGGATGGGGCGAGAGAATAGGACGCAGTGTTTTTGTAATCTCAAATACGTGGTATTAGGGGTAGACTGGGACGGGTCGGTCCGACCCGGGACCCGGCCCGATACTATGCAAGCCCGGCCGGACTAGGCGGACGGTACCAGGACCGGGAGTGGGGGCCTGAACCAAGTGTAAATGGGGCGGGCTATGGGCTGCTGAAAAGGTCTGGGGCCAGTCCGGGCCCAATTTATTTATTTTTTCAATTTTTTACCATTTATTGGCTGCTAGGTGGGTGGGGCTGGGTGGTTTAGAGGGTGTGGGGGTAGGAATAAATTCATAAAGACAATTTTTTTTAAATGTGCCCGACCCAGCCTGGCCCGGGCCGGGTAAAAAACTCAAGCCGGTACCAAGCCTGCAACTTAAACTTTTAGTCCCACTCAATCCCGTCCTGGGGCCCGTCCCGGCCCCGGCCCACCCCTACGTGGTATAAGTTGTAATCTCAAATACAGTTTAATGTAATGCTTATTACGCATATCAAAGTAATGAGTTCCACATTGCATTACAGTTTAAATTTTAAAATATGTAATGCTCTCATTACATTACATTCTTGCTATTCAAGTAAGAAGTTTGATGCTTACCCTAGAAAGATGAATGTGCCATATAAAGAGTATGAATTCATTTTTTCTTCTTTTGGCCGGAACACTTGCTACTATTTCTGCTGTAATTCAAATATGTGCTATAGTGAAAAATTAATTGAAAGTTATGTGATTTTTTTTTCATTTTTTGTGTCACAACCATTCTCTCTCTTCCTTATAAACAAACCCTGAGTATATATATATATATATATATATATATATATATATATATATATATATATATATATATATATATATATATATATATATATATATATATATATATAGGGGAAAGATCAAGTACAAAGTGTGCTTATTGTGCAAATATTTGTACGATGCACCTTGACGTTATTTGCATTGCATATTGAGGTTCAAAGTATTGCACATTATAAAGTCATAAAAATAATAGTTGCACATTAAGGTGCAACGAGTTGCACCCTAAAAAGTTGGGTTTTATTACAAAAATGCCACCTTGCCTTTATGTCCTTTGGATCAACTCATCGGACGGTCAAGATGAGTTTGTACTTTGTAAATTAAGAAGGCTTTGTATTTGATCTTTATTCTATATATATATATATATATATATATATATATATATATATATATATATATATATATATAGATAATAAACTTCTTGATAGGATTTGATAAAATGGTGAATGAGACAGTTTTAATCTAAATAAAATCTGCCACTTCCCTCTTATTACACTCAACCTGACCTAATTGGTTATATATGGAAAAGATATTAGTCTTCACACCTCCACCCCCCCCCCCCCCCCCCCCAAAACACAAAATGCCCCCCCCCCCCCCCTAATCTCTGTTGAACCAAATAAAAAGTAAAACCAAATACAATAGAATACTGTTTAATTTACAACAAATTTTAAAACAAATGTTTCTATCATCTCATGCATATATTTCAATATGTAAATGCAGAACTATCTGACCCCACAACTTCACTTGCAGGGAGAAAGCAGCAAGCAAGAATTTGGCAATAAAAGAGTTTTTTCATGAAGTTTTATGATCACAGAGACAGTAAATAGGGAAGAATCACTACTCTGAACTTTATGAGAACTACTTCAAATATTTCTATAAAAAAAATTCAGTGTTTTGGAACAACTAAGAACTCAAAAGAAAGTGACCAGCTTTTGGTCATGTTGTTAACAGAAGATATATAAGGCCCTTAAGATACTCAACTATTTCTGAACCACCCAACTTGGAGCTCCCAAATACTCTATCAACAAAAGTAATTGGAACCTGTAGCAGATGGAAAAACAGAATTAGGCCTTCATCTAAACCCCTAAAAGAAACAATAAAATTTTCTACAATTAACTAACTATTCAATGTAGCCAAAATCAACTGATCAACACGAGTTAACTATGAGGACAAGGATGATTGAACTACCTCTTCAATATGATAATGTTTTCTTGAAGCTCGGACAATCATCTCCATTTGAAAAACATAGCCTTTGCTGACACACGAGCTTATGATGTCTTTAAGCACTGACTTCCGGTAGAGCCTTCAAAGTTGTGGAAGAGCGGTTGTCAGTTTATGATAATATTTTTTTTTTTTGAGGAAGTTTATGATAATTTTTTAAAAAAGGCCAGATTGGGAAAAATAAGCACCCTTGACCCAACAAAAAAGCTAGGCTTGATATGATTGACTTGACCTCATGTTTTTACAGGAACTCAGGAAGAAAGGACTAATTCATTTTGTTGATATTTACGCCCCTAATTTAGCAGAACCATGGTTTAGATTGAAGGGGGGAATTTTGATTTTATTTTTCTTTCTTTTTTGGTAAAGTGCCCAAAATGAACTTTCAACAATATAATAAAAAACAATTGACCTTGAACTATCCAGGTGCCTACTTAGCCAGTTAGCCCCTAAACTAAATACAATAACTCAAATTTGACATTGCAAAAAATTCTAATTAATTTTAGACTTGTGTATCAATACATGAAACACAATTAGGCACGTGAAGAAAGCTAAACGGGACAATAAGATCACTTGCAATGACAAAAAAACACATTAAATCCAAAATATCAGCCCAAATCATATTATTCATTTGAATATACAATGTGTTTTCTACCTTTTCAACTGATTTCTCATTACTTACAGTTTTTATCAAGACTTTTTTAACGTTCGGTTTTATTAATGAGTCACTCAAGTCCGTTTAATGGCTACATGAGACATCTGAAGAATTCATAGTCAATCAAGTATTTTTTTGGAAGTTCAAGGTCACCTATTCAGCATTTGACTTTCTGATAGAGACCTCTAACTATTCAGAGATTACAGAAGCTAATATCAAGAAACAAGAGAAATCTTTATTGAAGGAGATGATGAACAGTAACAAGTACAAAGGCCGAAGCCCCCAAACTGAGCCGAAGCCCCCCAAAGAAAGAGCAAACACTCGATCTTCCCAGTCCCAAGACTAAACAGTCCAAAAGCCTCCTCAACCCTTCCTGGCCCTCTTCTATTTATACTCAGCTAATACACTTGTTATTATTAATACTCTAATAGGCCCAGTCCCTTATTATTAGTATTAGTCTATTAGGCCCAGGTTCCTATCATTACTCCCCCCCTAACATCCACCTTGCCCTCAAGGTGGGTGATAGGAAACCGCTATGATCTTCCGCTTCCTCTTCTTTCTTGCGCCTCTTCCTTCCCAATACTTGATTGGTTGATGGCTTTGTAGCTTCAGTACTTGAACTTTCCAGCTCACATATGTTTCTGCAGACTTCAGATTTTCCATATCCATAGATGTTTTCATGCTTTCCTGAGCTATAACACTTCCAACAGTAGCAGAATTGGTGTTCATGTCCTGAACCTTCATTTTAATTTGCTCCTCAGAATTGTGATTGACTTTCATAATGCTTTTCAGCAATACAATGCCATCCTCTGCTGTGCTTTGAGTACACCTAACATCATTCCACCAAACAGCTCCCATAGGCATATTCCATCTAGATCTTTCTACCACTGCTTGTTTCTCAAAAGGAGAATCCATTTTTACCTGATTTCTTGAAACAAAGAGTGGAAAACCCCAAATTATCCTCAAAATTGCACCATCTTTGCTGGTATAAAACAACACAGAAACCCAGCAACACTTTGTGGGCGAGAATACACAATCAGTTCTTTTACCAAGTACATCAGCCCTACTTCTTTTGTTCCAACCTAGCCTGTCAGATGAAGGAAGTTCATTTATTCTAAAAGAGTTCCAGTCTTTGCTAATGTTATTCAAACTGGAAGGGCTATCACAAGCGAGGGAACGAATAATTGTCCCAGCTTCAAGTCCCAGATTAACTGAAGATTCCTCATTGCTTTCCTCTTCGGCATCGGTGTGTGTATCTTCCGTGTTCGTTTGCTGCTGATTAACCAACTCCCACTGCGACTCTGGTGACTCAGATAGCAATTGCGAACTGGGGTCTTCTGCTCTTGTCAAAACCATAGTTTCAGAAGAATTTGTCTGCGAACTCAGAGAATCGATTGGAGAGGAAGACAGCGAACAGTGAGAATCGACTGGTGACTTTCTTGGACAAGAACTGAGGTCCGGAGAGGAGTTTTGCGAATGGTGATGCGAAGAGCGATGAGAAGAGCCATATGAAGAGCTATGCGAAGAACGATGCCAAAAACTGTGCGACGAGCGAGGCGAAGAAATCTGCGAAGAGACATTTCGCGAATCTGCCTGCGATAGCGGATGAAGCCTACTGTTCCTGGTTCGGTCGCCATATATTCTGCGATGCTTCGGCTCTTCAGATTCTTTTGGACTCCTTGACTTTCGCGTGTAACGATGATGTAAGTGGTGCGACTTATGCGATCGACTCTTCGAAGGATCTGTAAGTTGGTTTATCATATCCGCGAAACTAGCCTGCATATCGGCCATCATCGTCTTCATCCTTTCTTACGATGCGGCCATGCTCGACTGCATCTCCTTCATCATTCTGTCTATATTATCAAAACTCTCTTCCATCCGTGGTGTCATCTCGAATTCCTCCATCGTTTCCATGATTCAGATTCTCAGTCTCCAGGAACGAACGTTTGCTCTGATACCAATGATAGAGACCTCTAACTATTCAGAGATTACAGAAGCTAATATCAAGAAACAAGAGAAATCTTTATTGAAGGAGATGATGAACAGTAACAAGTACAAAGGCCGAAGCCCCCAAACTGAGCCGAAGCCCCCCAAAGAAAGAGCAAACACTCGATCTTCCCAGTCCCAAGACTAAACAGTCCAAAAGCCTCCTCAACCCTTCCTGGCCCTCTTCTATTTATACTCAGCTAATACACTTGTTATTATTAATACTCTAATAGGCCCAGTCCCTTATTATTAGTATTAGTCTATTAGGCCCAGGTTCCTATCACTTTCTTTACATTCATGACACAGTCGGCTATCTTATAAAACTGTATTATTTATAATAAAAAAAGGTTACCGAAATGATCCAGTTAGGTCTGATACTCCTGGCCATAGAAGTGTCTGTGCAAGGACATTTGCTCCTCTACTTGTCAATTTGCGCATTAGGTTCCACCCATGAACACCACCTCCCATAACATAGCGGGTCCCAGTGATGATATCGGCACCCGTCTCGATTTGTTTCCTGAATTCCATGAACACAACATAATTACGCCCGAGGAAAACTATCTACAAAACAAAAAGAAAAACAAAAAGGTTTATAGTGTTCATCAATAAACATACACTTACTTTATAAATCTTGGCAGGTACTTAGGCTGCAACAAAGAAGTGAAACCAAAATAAATGCTTCAGATATACAAACCCAAGCAGAACTGTGGATCAATGTACTTAGCTGGTAGCATGTGCGAACAAAGAGCTAAGTGCCCCAATATGAAAAATAGTGCGTAAAATCATAAGAGGTGTTCGGTAACATGTTTTCCATAGTAGAAAATACGATGTAGAAAACAGAGGAATGCAAACCTAGTGCTCAGAAAGTAGATAACTCAAAATCTGAAAACCGAAGGCCATAAATAGAAGCAAAGGCATCCCTAATGTTTCTCAACAAGCATGTAGAACTTGGAAATTATGGAATGCATTCATGACATTACATTAAAAAAATGTCAATGTGCTTACGTGGTGGGATAGATCAGCATCCATAATGACAACAAAGTCTCCAGAGGCATACTTCAAACCATGAATATAGGCAGTACCTGAATGACAATACAATTAAGGACTGTTTAAAAAATTATGTTAGCTGGGAAAAGCATAGGTAAATAGTCTAAATACCTAAACCAAGCTTAGCAGATCGAGACCTCAAAAGCTGCACGACCAATGGGGAGGAAGTAAAAGGCTTTTAGCAATTTCTATGTATAAGTAAGAAATAAATTACGTAGGTTTGAGTTATAAAAATCACTAACAATGCGATCTTCCCTGTACACCTGCTGCAATTGTTCAACAATGTCTTGAGTTCCATCAGGACTTCCATCATCCACCACTATAATTTCAAAGTCGACATCCCTACCAAGACAACAACAAAGAGACTCTTAACATACTACAGTTGGACTTTACAAATATATAAAATATTTCACACACATTAAAGTTTAAGAACAAACAAGTTAAAACATGCATAAACCAAAAAAAAATAGTCATTAAGTTTGCAAGTCATGATAAAAGTGACTAAGAAAAGTGTGAGATAACATAAAAGCAAACACCCACTCCGTCCCAGAAAAGAGTTGTGCTTCTAAAACCTTCTTTATCTCCAGAACGAGGCATGTTTCATCCACAGAGATGTCCCAGAAGCTAAATTGTTCATGTAATTTCTCAAAATACAATAATAAGCAAGTTAAATAATTTAAATTTTACTAAGGCGTTAACCCATAAATAACAACTCAATAATACAACTATATAACTATATAAGTAGGAGTCATGACTCTTAACAGCAATTACTTTTTTCCAAAATTAAGAAGTTACACATTTGTGAGGCTTGACTCTATACTTGGGATGGGTGAGTAATTAAACTTTAATGAACACATTATAAATCAGCTTCATCTGATCAACTTTCAAAATGCCTAGATAGCACACGACATGTGAATCCATATATGACTAAAGAGCCACAAGATGAGACACCACAGAATCTCATACAACAAAGGTGAAAAGCTTTAGGTATACGAAGAACAAAATTATTATTCGTGAGAGACGAATGAGCTAGAGAAAGAGCAAGATCACTAGAAATTTTCGAATTAGAAATCCATAATTAGCTTCTGAACTATAAGAACGATTAAAGTAACTCAATACATGAAGCTATTAGCATCCTGGTAAATATGGTGAGGGGAAAGAACATTACTTGACATGCTTGAAAAGGAGGAAAATGACGAGGGCGATGTTGAGTCGTTCGTTGTATGTTGGGATAATTATACTGTACCTGGCCTTCTCCCCCATTGATCTACTCAATTCAACCTGTGATTTCAGATACGTAAATCAAGAAGGGTTTTTTATAACAATATTACTAAAATAAAATTTATTTACATAAGTATGACTATTCATTACTACAACGTAGTGTTGTAGTAACTTAAGTTCAGAATTTGAACATGAATTACTATGATTTCATTACTACTCTAGTAACTAATCATATTTTTGTAAATCATCTTTATTTTGGTCATATTAATGTAATTATTTCAAGAAAGAATGTGTAAAAAGAGTGAAAAGATGTTCTCCTAATTAACAAAACATTTAATAAAATTTATAATAAATATTAATAATAAAAAATTATCAAAAAATTATCAATCCGCAGAATTCGGGAAAAAGGAGGCTGAAAGTGCTAAGTAATAGTGAGTATAGAATTTGATAGAGTAATAAGCTACTCTGCTCAGAGAATTTCGAATCAGACCCATTTCCACAAGATGAAATGTGATATTTATATTACAGAAGAAATATTTGACCAACAAGTATAAAAATGTTATTCTAATGTGGTGGAGACACGTATTATATCTGGCTATCAAGTAAAATATGATAGTCTATAACATGTGGACAACTATTGATTGGTTGTTGGTACTATGTGTAACGGAATTTGTCCTTTGCGAACCAGAACGCATGTGTAAGCCACACGTGTGTTCTCCTGAATATTATGTGCTAACCGCCTCACTGACATACGCCTTTGACAGCTGTTGCACGGATGACATGATTGCAGTTATACGCGGAGTGCTGAAATGCGTAAGTCCACATCTTCCTTATGAGGTCCCAAGCTCACCAGGTGAGGTCGAGCTTGGGTGTGGCGTGTTCATTTGGAGGGGAGCAGCCTCAGTTCGTTGTTCTGAACTTTTGTCACTATCATGACGAATCCAATTCGGCCACCAATGAGGCAGTGACACCGGTGACACCATTCTCCAAGTTCCTGTCCAGCCACACCGACAATAAAATATTAGATTTGGACGGGTTCACGGTCAAACCAGATACGACAGAGAAATCATTTAGGCAGTCCACCAGAATCTTTATAGAGCACATATCTCCCCTGCAGAATAGCATCAGATCGTCAGCGTAAGCTAGATGTGAGATTCCTAGCTTCGCACATCAGATCGTCAGGGTTGTCCTCATTCAACCAACCCGAGTCTCAGTTGGTGTCCCAAGTTATGTCTCATACTCCTTTGCATCCAATTTCCACAATTATTGACACCATTGCAAGGTGTCACTTTCCGGATGCCCTAGGTGTCTGGAATACACCCTTAAATCTGAAACTCGCCACCCAAAACTTTTCTACATCCAATGCAATGTCATCCCGATCAAAACCTTGCATTCTCCCCATCCCCACTCATAGTCGACAGAATCATGAATTATCGGAATCCTTTAACCGACTAGACAAGAATTTACTCTGACTGTCGGTTTTACAACGACAATCATCAGTCGTCCAGAGAACAGTGTTGATGGTCCCATGGGAGTGATATTCACACTATTACTACAAATGCAGGAGAGGATCAATGCAATTCTTGGAGTTCTCCCTCCACTTGACACATCGTCTCAAAGGTGTTATGATGAGTCACCTTTTGACGGTTTGTTCATTTGTGTTGAACTACCGAATAAATTTGAAATACCAAACATGGAACCATTTGACGGAACCTCGGATCCTGGAGAACATGTCGCGCAATACAAGCAAATGATGTCAACCGTCTACGTCAAACATGAACAGAGAGAGGCATGTATGTTTCGGGGACTCGACATGACATTAACATGTGTTGCTTTGACAAGGTTCGTGAATCTTCCGAATGGGGGCATCAGTTCGTTTGCCGAACTTGTCAATGTTTTCAATCGACAGTTCGCGAACAGTAGGGTATTGGAAAGACGGACCAGTGACTTGTACCAAATCACACAGAGGCATGGTGAATGCCTTAGATATAATTTACACAGATTCAACAAATGGGAGGTGTCGATCCCAAAATGTGACGTATCTACCATCATTGAAACATTCAGAAGAGGTTTGTATGAAGATTCGGAGCTGTACCGCGAACTGACGAAATACCCTTGTCAATCCATTGAAATGCCCAAACGAAGAAGTTGACTTTCATCCGTCTAGAAGAAGACTTACAATCCCGTCACAGACAAATTAAGTATGAATGGGGGCACGGGAAATCAGAATCTTCCAGGAGGCATGATTGCAAGCCTAGAAAACCTTATTCAAGACCCGAGGAACAAGTCGTCACGAGTCACGACCATGACTAGGTGGACCGGACGAGATGATAGACAAGTTTTGAAGAGCTGCAATACGGTACCCTTACAATTGTTTCATTTTTAGTTTATTATTTTCTTTTACATATTGTCGTCACTCCCGTGACATGATAGACCATACGAGATGATTGAAATCGTCAGATGGGGGGGTATATCGTCTGACGATAGACAAATTTTGATGATATATATTTTCTTAGTTACGCATACATATTTTTAATTTATTACTTTTCTTTACATATAAACAATCACTAACTTAAGCATCGGAGGGTCGTTGGCTTCTAGCCAATGGCCATCCTTCGCAAAATCTTTTTGCACATGAACCCTCAACATTGGATAATGATGATGTCTTGACACCCGTCAAACAAAGCCTTACAGATACTTCAAAACACAAATGACGAGGCTTACGTAATTATAAGGGAAAAAGTGGGGTTATCATGTCTTCAAGCATGAGTGCAAACACCACCGATTCTCTAGAATGTTTTGGCCAAAACAATACAGAAATTACATTACAGAAGTATGTGCTTCAAGAGCATAAAAACAAACAACAACGAATTCCAAAACAGAAGGAGACAACATGAATAACATACACATAAATCCTAAACATTCATGTTTAGGTTGACAAAATTATAAAATTACAAACAAAATAGTGTTCAAAGTTTTTGTAGGATATCGATCACTCTCATACTACCCAACTCATCATATGTCCAATGGTGGACAACGTCCCCGACCCCTTGCAAACTGAACTGTCAACATCAACGTGGACGAAGTTTCAATTCGTCAGCACCTTGTCATGATCATAGGCACAAATTTGGAGGAAGTGGATAAGATATCAGGCTTTATTCTTCATCTATTCAGTCTAAGAGACGGATTGGGCCAGAAATTATTCGCATGGAAAGTGACGGAATCGTCTCGAGCGACAGGTTGACGAGAGCGTCTCGTCAGATGAGTGATCGACGTGTTGACGGATGCATTTTGTCAGAAGAGTGACGTGTTGACGGAAGTGTCTTGTCATATGAGTGACAACTTGACGGATGTGTCTCGTCAAGCAGATGACGAGTCGAAAGTCACGTCTTGTCAGACAGATGTGACTCGTCAGACAGATGACACGCCGATATGCGCAATAGTCAAGGATGTGAAGTAACTTAAGCTCTTCAAAATTTCGAAAGGTTGCCGCTTAACGGGTTTACGTGTGCGCCCATGCACTTCAACTTCTCAAAAGAGGGCAATTGTTGGGCCAAGAATAAATCAAGAAATTAAATAGAATAGTAACTCCATGTTCGTATAATAAAGCTGCAAGCCCATACTCGGCAGCTACAGATAGATGGATATCGATCGAAGATTAAGTCAAAATATAACTACACAAGGATAAGGAGGAAATAATCGACTTCCTATTCCGTCGGATGATAGAGCGTGCAACAGAAGATATGAGCTGATCTCTTTGGCAGTTACGAAGCAATCACTATAAATAAATAAACTATTGATAGCATAGAGGGATCATCTAAGAATTCTCAGTGATAAGACCCATGCTTGTAAATTGTAATCATTACAATTTAATATTTTTACAAACATCTATTCATAAGCTTTGCACTTTCTCATTTAGTGAGCACAGAGTAACATATTTATAGTCATCATAGGGAGTTTCAGACTTTCAGTTACAACAAATTGCAGCCAATATTACTAGTTTATTTAGCTTCTTGTACGTGACCCAATAAATTATTTAATTCCTTTGTATTGTTTAGATATTACTAATTTTGGCTTAAACACTAGCAATAGTGTTCACAAAACAAAATGGAGTAAATTCAAACTAATGTCTATTTAATTCTTCTAACCTCTAGCTCAACTTTTCCCCTTTACCACTCTTTACCGCGATTATCACTTTTATGTTCCGACCTAGAGAGAACCACATAAGGTGGAAATGACGTTGAGATTAAACGGGTTTTAGTTAGAATTTGCACCGAAAAGAAGAGAAGGGACGAGGAAAGTGGGAGCAAGGTTTTTTTGGGTGGGGATTATTATTGTAGAATCACTGAAAGTAAGGATTATTCTTATGAATTTTGTCATTTTAATTGTTAATATTTAAAGAAAACACCCCTAAGAAATATCTAAATCATATGAAACTACTAGGGAAACTAATCAAACTATGAAATTTAGGCATGAACTTTTGAGGCTTTTTAAGTGTCTTAAAAATAAAAATAAACAATTACATATTTATGACGATTGACTACAATAAAAAATGTTAACAAAAATGACTACAATATTAATGAAATTGTTGGGATATTGTCCCAAGCCCAGTACCGGACCCAAATGCCCCAGGAGGCCCAATCTACATACCGGCTAAATCGTGGTCTAGCAAAATCAGGAATGCCACTCGGCTGTTCCACATAGGTAGTCCCACTCGGCACTTTCTCTTCACATGGGCTCCTCTATTCGACTCAGTAGCCATCCAAGACAGAACTTCCCCAAACAATTGGCGGGAAAATCTGAGAATTGACGGATAGCGCATTTAATGCACCAGATATGAGAAATTTTATATTTGGGGGTTCATACACTCAGGATTGAGCACATCACCCCCACATACTACCTTATAGTATAAATAACATCATTTATTTCATTGTAAAAAGTTTGCAACTTTATACTCTTAGCAATATACTTCGCTCTAGTTTTTGTGTAGCATTCAGCTTGATCTAGGAGGTCGGAGCTCAGGATTGACAAAAGTGTTGTAATCATTCTAATGATTTAAATGCAATTGGATCCACTATACCTCTAATGGTTTGGTAACA